ATAATTCATGAATGTATGTGTGTATGTACGCATGTGTGTGTGTGTTAATATGGCTTCATGCTTAATGACAGTTAAATTAATATTTATTGAGTTTTATTGCTATATATATATTTGCAGATAAAAGGATTGTTGACCAATATTTCATACACTCTTGCAGTACATACGAATATAATACAGTGCTGCTTTTTTAATTTTTGGGGAACGGCTTATTGCATGACGTATAAGCCGTTAATAAGGGGTTACATGGGTTTCACAGTTTTAAAAAAAAATAAATTTTTTTTTTTTTTGTCTTATTAAATTTTATAACATCTCTAGAATATTGTTCTAAATTGGAAAATATGTGGACGCTCGAGGTAAGTTAGAGGCTGAGGGCGCAGCAGGTAAAACTTTAAACGCGTTTTTCTCAAAACAACGTTTTCAAAGTCGGTTGGCAAGATTTCTCGCGTTTAGTGGAAGTTCTCTTCCAGAGTTTCTCCTTAAAAATTAAAATAAATATTGAAAAATGTTTCCCTCCGCAGAAATTGGGGTCTTATGTCAGCAATTCTCTTCCGATATCACATAACACCAGAAGAAATAGTTCAACGGTGTTAAATCATATGATCTCCAATACCACAATAAAGGACAACGAGGCTAGATAATGCGATCACTAATAGTTTCTTGTGTTTTTCAGAATCGATCGGAAGCCATCTGTTTGATCATTCACCGAACGTGTGACTCGCTTGGTGGTCGTTCAGCTTAAATTCTTGAACGAATTGGATATTGTAAGGCAGCAAACCAAGATTCTTCTTTCAAGAATCTTTCATAAAGTGTATGGACTCATGCAGTACTCGGCTTCTCATCAGCAATAACGTATTTGTATGGGGTCTCTAATGATGGGCATTATCCATTTAAAAAACTATGATGCAAAACCGATACACTCGAATTACAGACTCTTCTGGGCAATTCTGTCGACCGAATATCAGATTTTGGTAATAAAATTGGACGATTTGCATCATTGTTCCAAACTAAGTCCGTTCATTATGAAATGATAAACCAAACTGTGTATAAATCAAATAACAACTGTCAAAAAGAACAACTCAGAAAAAAATATTGCCTCATTGAAACCCACACGTGTTATAAGGGTTCATGTTAAAGTCCTGGTCGACTTCCGAATCTATAAATCTTATGTTCTACAAGATTGAATCAATTAATTTCGTTCGTGATCAATTTATTGGATACCAGGTTGTTCAATAAATTTTGTAGTTTGAAAATAAAAACATAATTTTATGACTCAAAATAGACTTTATTATTCAGTATAATCTCCCTGAACATTAATACACATGCTCCAACAATCCTCCAATCTGTGGATCTCATTCCTGTAGTGAGAATCTGGAAGATCTGCAAAATACGCTTCTACAGCCTTTATGACCCCTTCATTTGATGAAGAACGCTTGTCACGCATACATTTTTCGAGTTCTGGAAACAAATAGAAGTCGATTGTCAAAATCCTCTTATGACGCAGTGCATTGTCCTGATGAAAAATGATTTTCTCTTCTGCTTACCTGCTTCTGGTCTAAAAGGTTGCAATAATATTCAGAACTAATGGTTTTGCCAGTTAGCATGTAATCCACAAATAAAATACCTCTCGCATCCCAAAAAAACTTATGGCAAAACCTTCTTGGTCGATTTCCGGACACTAACTCGTTTCGAACCAAACAACCAGGTTCAAGCCACCCTTTAGACTCTTGTTTCGATTCAAGATCATGGTGATAGACCTTAGTCTCATCCAAAGTGATGAATCGACGCACAAAAACCACTTTATCCTTTTTAAAACGCTCCAAATTTTGCTGAGATATTCGCATTCGAATGAGTCTTTGTTCCATTGTTAGCGAATGCGGCACATATTTAGCATACAGCTTTCTAAACCCCAAAATTTCACTTAAAATATGGCTCATACTCAACTAAATCTCTCTCAATCAATCAGTTGGATATGGCACTTTATAGATTTGTGTAAGAGCATTTTGTGCGCTTGGTTCAATTCTTCCTAGTTACAATACCAACCGCCTTAGAGAGCCCATCACAACAAATCTCCTAAGCTATGGGACAGACAAGCAGAAGAAACATTCGAAAATTAGCATTCTTTTCAATTAGAATAGATATACAAGTATGAATATAACTCTGTATGTACAAGTAAATCGTTAACAAATAAATCCCATGTAACGGTAAAGTATTCTGAAACTATTTTATTACCGTTAAAAACCTACAATATTTGATTCTTAAACCAAATACCGATTTATTCCATTTATGTATTTTATAAAAATTTTAACCAAAAATAATAAAAAATTTCCTTAACTGCATGAGCATATGCATGCTTTTAACAACATAGACGGCTCTTGTATTATGTTCTGCATTTATTTTACTTCTGCACATCCTGTTTTGCTTTTGCATGTTCCGGAAATACCCCCCAGCAATCTCGCTTTTATACAATTCGGCTTGTTGTTGCTCCAGAGAGAATCGAAAAACTGAAAAAGTATGCTGCATGTAATATTTTGTTTGTGTGCTTCTCCGACTGTCTGCTTCTCTTAATGGATGTTGTTAAGCTCACAATTGCAAAAACAACAACACGACACACTCCAATAATAAAGTCAAATTTCCGCCGGCCGCACAGTATGTGTACGAGTAAAAGGCTTAAGAACTTTTTTACAAGCAAGAAAACTTTTATAATCTACCGAAGCTCATGCATATGCACTTACATATATAACAGAATTGGTTTTGGCTTTATTTGAAAACTCCTTATATGTGACAGAGGTTAGATTTTCCATTTCTCTATTTGAAATGGTGCTTATGAGTAGCGGCAGACTCCGCTATCGAAATTGCCTAGCCGTAAGGTAGTTCTTCAAAAACAGGTCGACTGGCAGAATGGTTCTGGCGAAACCAACAAAACCCTAAATCATCTAGCTATAGATTTTGAGTATTATGCCATTTTATCTGAATTTTACTAATAATATCGTTCAAAGATTATACTACTCAACAAGGCTGAAGAAAAAATTTGCAATGATATGCTAACAGATCGGTGCAGTACACCCTCGATAAATGATGTGTAAAACTTTTAATTTTTACATTTCAATGGAGCCACTCCGACTATTCCGTTTAAGGGTTCGGTAAAGTCTGATTGCAGCCTCTGTTCAGCATAGGTGCGACGGGCGTCGGTTTTGAAACAAGCGACTCGCTATATGGGTAACAGTTGGGAAATTTAGTAAGTGTATGTTCAGAACATACTAAAGTTATGGAGGGAACACTTCTCATCCAGCTGAATGGAAGTGAAAGTATTATATCTGAAGATGGCCAAGCCCACTCCACAATCGATGACGATGGAATAGATGTTTCATTTCCCGACTATTATGTGGTTCAAATATTAATTGCCCGCCTGAAGAACAACAGAGTGACGGGGGCCGAGCTATTCAAACACGGCGGCGAAGAACTGACAAGGTGCATGCATCAGCTTCTTTGCTATATATGGCCCGATGAGTGGAACCGAAATGTGCTGTGCCTTATTCACAAAAAGGGAGACCCCAAAATTTGCGCTCGGACCTTGGTATAACTATCTCAAATATCGTATATAAGAAAAACCGATGCTATCCATCGCCGAATCGATTGAACCTTATCAGTTTGAAAAAAAAAACACATTTTCGTCGTTTTAAAGCCAGCTTCGCCAGGGTAAAATAAAACTATCTCTAAATTGCTATGTTTTAATTTGGTATCCCCCAAAGCTAACACGGTTGTGCAGCCTGACAGTGAGCAACACCAAAAGATATATAATAGTATGGTCCATTGTGCATTGGCAACGGCGTAACGGGCTGCACTTGGTATTTCACTTGGCGACAAAAGCGGAAAGAAGAAATGACTTGCGCTATTGTTAACAAGGCCATAATCGCGTAAGCGGTGTCGCCGGCAGTAAAAAAGCAGAAAAATTAAATTTTTTCCTAACATATGCCAGTATTTGTATTTTGTTTAGTATATTTTTTTTTAATTATATTTTTATATAATTAACTAAACTTTAAGTCGTTTTGCATTTCATTAATCGGCATAAAGTGATATGTATATCTGAATCATGGTTATGTAAATACATGTAACTCTCAACATCCTCATTTTTCAGTGAACCTCAATTTTGAATAAACGCTAGATTACAGAAGCGGAAATAGCCAATTCGCTTTGCTCTGCCTTTGTATTTCTTCTACCCTAACTTTTCCTAAATTAGTAACTGGAATGTGTCATAAATAAGTTTAAGAATGGTAAACTGTTGAATTGAGATATATTCTTCTGTTTGAAGTGAGTTTGACAAGAACTTAAGGAGGCGAGTCAGTTGCAGTTACTAAGAATATCTCACAACCCGTATCGTTTATGGCATTGTCCTTATCATTATTGAACATTTTACGTCAATATTTTTAATATAAACTAAGAGTTATTTATTTATTTATTTATTTATAAAACGTGAAACAATAATACAATTACTTTTCCACGAAAAAAGGAGCACTGGCTGCCAGGACCTTCGGCTCACAAACTAAGAGTTAAAACTTCAAATATGATCCCGAATCCGGAGACTCGTCACCTCTTTGGACGAGCTCTTCTTGGCATTTACGACTTGCGACGTGATCCGCAAAATAAATAGACACGCGTGTTTATAAGCTCGCTTCGAAGAGCTATTGGTTTTTTTCAAGGATGGATTCCATTGTAGATAAATTCACACAAGGTCATTTGCAGAGATATACGGGACCCCTTATATTTGCACTAAATAAATATTATAGAAATGTTTATTATATGTATTTGCTGCCATAACTTTAAAACACATTCGCTTAGGTTATGGAAATTTTATTGGCATCACCGGTACATGATGTAAAACACTCAAGGGAAATGTGAAATTTTACGATCTAGCATTTCAATGTCAAAATGTAATATTTTTTTCATGATACAATATTTGCTATATGAATAATATTTATTACATATGTAATTTGCATACATACCTTTGAATAGCCAGCGCCAAGGTTAGCCAAATGGACGCCGTGTGACAAACTGCGGGCATAAGCTAGAAATATGTTGAAAAAAACCATCAGTTGGTACTTTATAGAAAAAATTGCAAAAACACAAAAAACCATGCTTAAAATGACAATCTTTGGTAACAACGATATTATAAAACAACAACTTCATAGCGGAAGCATGTACATATGTCAGTCTGCACACTCATATAAGAGAAGGATTGAATATGCTCGTGTTTTTGAAAAATGGAAACATGTAAAAATGAATGCAAAAAAAGAAGTCTCACAGACACACACATACATATATGTATGTGGGGTGTGTGCGATATTTTCAACACACACTGCTCTTACTTGGGTATGTTTGCGCAGAGTGAACAGGTAAAGCAAATATTTGCAATGCTGTACCCTGAAGTGCACAAAGAAGGTTGTGTGCTCAAATATTATACAAGTTTTTTCAATTGATGTGTGTGTGCGTTTGATTTCCACAAACATATCTCGATGTACAAAGTGTCGATTTGCACATTTGTCATGTGGCCCATCTAGTGGATCTATCAGACTTACTAAAAGAGCGCTTAGAATAAGCACGGCGTTCAACTATATCCGTAGGTTCATATGTTGATGTATATTTATAAGCCTGTCTGGTACATATATATATATATATATATATAATACATATTATTCAATCATTATACGTCATTTTGAAGTAAAGCTTATCAATCCCGTTAAAGAAGTTTTTTTCTCCTTTCTATATTCCTCGTATGTTAACACGCTAACCTAAAACCTTTATATCTCATCTTCTTTGCTTTGATTAAAGACTTGCTATATATAAGTCGGAAATAAAGAAGGAAAAGAGAGTTTCGTGGAGTTCCTTAAGCTAAGGCGTAGAAGGCTGTCACGATTCTTCAATTTTTATGAATCTATAGTGGGATTTCTTGAATCCTCAATGCACAATTCCCAAGGAACCAGACCACAGAGCAGGTGACCCTCTGAGGGCTTCAGAAGCCTTCTTATGTCTTCTGGACGAGCGCCACCTTACGTGGGTGCTAAATTCATTCAAACTATTCAATTCCTTGGGACCTAAACCCCCAAGTAACTGTAAATATGTTATGCGGTCTCCTCGTTACTTCTGCGGCAACTGGGTATGGCAGCCGAGATAGTTCAGCCTTGGTCTGGCGAAAACTCAACAAAAGTGCAGAAAGTGTCTGAATGTTTCCACCTCATCTTCTTCATTTCAATTTTTACACGTTGCGCCCTTCAACATCTTTAACCTCCGCATGAGTGCTAATAGGGCAGTATCTAGTTAGGGCGCCTATCATTGCGGCTTAATGATAGCTGTTCAGTCGACCTTTCATTTCACAACCCCAAAAGGGGATCGCTGACCAACACTACTGAGCGCACGCAAAGCTCTTAGATCAGGCACTCGAATGCACGATGGCTCCTTTTCCAATCGGATGAAATTTGGGAATGGGTATCTTTTCTTATAAACTCACCTACCTTACAATTTGCGACGATTCCGTTCTGGCTAAGCACTAAGAAAAGTTCAATATGGAAGTATAATGATGCTACTATTCGTGAAGTCATATTTTTCTTGACAAGCTTTGTGCTCACTGTCATCGAGATTGCAGACCTGATATACATATACAGGTTATGTAGCAGGTCTGCTATCAAAGTGAATCCATACCCGTTCTCAACAGAAGCGTAGAAATATTGGCGAACAAAAAGTTGTATTTGGCCAAGCAAAGCGTCAGGCATCAAGAGGAAAGGCTTCTGCCTACCTGCTATGTATGTCAACATAGGAAACGATACATACAGTACATACACGCATACATGAACAGCTATGTCGTGAGTGTAAATGCAATTAAGTGCTTGCAATTTTTGTTAAATGACATGTTGACGTCGGCTATAAAAAGGCGACAATGTCCAGCTCTCATTAAGGCTTCATTGTCACTGACTTTTGAAATTTACTCACCTCGTTAAATATAGAATATGCCAGGCACATCGATACCGGATGCAACGGCTTGTAATGATTGCCGAATGTGTACATATACCAGAGTCCCGGCGCCGGAAATATCACTGTCAGCATATCACATATCGCCATGGCTGGAAAATACAATTAGACAAGTGTTCAAACGTGAGAAGGCATAATTAGTGGAAACATTACAGCAAGCCATATCTATTTCAAATATTAATTAGATTTTCGTATTTATGTTAGCAAGTTGTGTGATGAGTAATTAAATATCGGGTGTACTTATCACTTTACCGAAATTGTTAGAAAATTAATTATCAAAGCATAATTTGACATAAAATAGATAGGAAAGGTGGATCTCATATCTGGTTTTATATATGACATAAGGTGTTCGAATGTGCATATAAACATAGTCTAATCTTTATTGTACAAACAACTGTGAACAGATTATAGAATTTTGTATAAAGAATTATGTGTGCTCCTCTATTAATACTATATCTCACAAAAAACTTGTTGTACCATGGTGCTCATTTCATCTATGTAGATAAATATTATATAGAGACATGTAATTAATGCATTCGATTGGCCAAACTGTGGAAAGTGAGAGCGAATCGAACATAGAACTAGATAACACTGAATAGTCTGTTCGAATAGTGAGCTGTTATAACACTTTAATGAGGTAATCCTGTACCAAATTGACTTCAACGAAAAAATATTTTATTATTTTTTTTCTCTCTTACAAGACGATAAAGAGATACATAATCTGATAAATACGTGGCCTAAGCACAATAAAAAAAATCGAAATTTGCAAAAATGGTTATTTATTTGTCAACAACCCCCAACGAAAATGTAAATTCTTTAACATATTTTAAAAATACGATTTCTGTAGACCTGCGAGGTAAGCCCCGGTGGCGGGGATAACCGTTATTCTTTTCCAAAACCAGAATTTAATCACCAGCTTATACTATCATTTTTAATTTTTTTAATTCAAGTGCGGTATTGAAAGCAGTATGCAGAGAGCTGCTGGGTTAGGTAAAGTCAAATTGCTCAGCAATTGGCCGAGTTTGTGATGCCAATAAAAAAAGTTAATGAGAAGAAGTAAATATTTCCTCACATAACATCCCACTACAAATTCGGAAAAATAAGCGAATTTTGAAAAGAAAATCCAACTGTTTCCAAGCACTTCTGCTCATTCTTAAGCCAACGGGACTAAAGTTTTCTCACTATTATGTTCTTTCTGATTCATACTGTTCTCCTGTTGAAGTTCCTCAATTCAAAACGTTTTATATGTGCAACTTACGAGACACGTCAAGAAACCATCGACCAACAGTTGCCTAGCATTCGCTTAGGAGATAATCTACTTGTTTAGAAGAAGCTCTACCACTTGGCCTCCCACTAAAATTCTTATATCACTCTTTTGAGTTTAAATAGTCGTCATATGCGGTACATATTCCTTTCAGCCACTCCTCCGAGACTCAGCAATATTTATAACATGATTAATGATTTGACTAAATATCTAAATTTAGCCAGAGGCATATACATTTTCTCTTTTTCGGCGTCTGTTTATAGGATGGTGGCTGTTCTGACTAGTTCATCTGCTTCAAAGTTGCCAAGAGTATTATTATATTGCTGTGAGCTTAGCTTGGAAGACATTGCAGTAGCCTGGTAGTCGGAAGGTGATTTCGGCATCTAATTTTGCGAAAAGACACCACCAGGACTCATCCATAATGATGCTTGTGCCGAATTTGTGTGATATTGGGTAGAAAAGGGAACTTGCTAAGCATCGTAGAATGCCACTCATTAAAGGCAATTGATAAGAAGAATTCAATACGAAGTATCACCAGTCATCAAACAAACAGTTGTCGCACTCGCGACTTGGTTCCCACGTCACTATTGACAATCGTAACTTAGAAATCGTAAATCATTTCGTCTATTTTGGAACCAGTATTAACCGCAACAACACTGTCGGACTCGAAATCCAACGCGAAATAACTCTTTATCTTTTCTACTTCGTACTGGGTAGGCAATTGAGAATTAAAGTTCTCTCTCGACGAACAAAGACAAAACTCTATAAGCCACTCATCATCATGGTGCAAGGGCATGGACGATGGGAACATCAGATGACTTAGCGTTACGTGTTTTTGAGAGAAATGTTCCGTCAAAGATTTATGGTCTTTGACGCGTTGGTGACGGTGAATATCGCATCCGATTGGATGAAAACACTCCAGCTTTGAGAGTGTTCGACGCAGTAGCCGCCGGGAAAAACAGAGGAACTCCGTTGGAAAGACCACGTGAAGACTTAGAACCTCCAATTGGTACCAAACAGCGACAAGGAAGAAGGATTGGTAAGAATGACTGGTAAACTCGCCTATACACCGAAGGTATGTATAAGGTATACAAATATAATACAATATATGTATGACAACTAAGACAATTAACTACTTAGACAACTAAGAGGAAAACGAATTTGAAAACGTCACACAGAAATGTCTTTCTACATAGAGAAAATGCATATAGTCCTAAACACAATTTCAAACATTTTTTTTTTTTTTTTTTTTTTTTTTTTTTTTTTTTTAAAATTTTTTTTTTTTTTTTTTTTTTTTTGGCATCACAAACACAAAAATTATATTATAAGATGATGTACAAAGTAGTGGCGTTGGATGGCAAAATAGACCAAAGGTCGCCGCGCAATCCTCGTATAATAATCAGTGGCGTTTATAAACAATTTTGGTCAACCGAATGCTAAAACGGAAATCGAGGAAGCACGTAGTCCGATTTTGTGAAAAGGGATTGTCGTAATTAGGACTCAGGTGCTCCGTGATATAAATAGGGGAGTCCGTCATTTGCAATGTAGCCATAGTCAAATGCCAACAGTTAACAGAAACAACAACAACTGTAATTAAAAAAAATAACCCATAGCAACACCATAAGCCGTTATTTCACTTTTATGGCCGCAGATATGGGCAAATATGACGTCATCAGTTGCCGAACATCACGCATGGACCCTGCAGAATTGTTAAATTTGTGTGCTTTTAAGCTATTTAACAGTGAATATGTGTTAATAAATCCGGGTAATTGTGTATTCGTGGAATTTAACCCGCTTCATTGCATTATTTGATGTTATATGGAAACCACGGTATCATAAATTTCCGTATTCCAGCACATCCAGCTGTGGAGCTCATAATTAGCAGTAGTGCAAAGCATTTTTGTACAACAACAAAAGCAACGAACTATTTTGCCGGCGTATGTGGTGGATGTGTTTACTTTAAATTTTATTACTTGAAAATTGCTTTGAAACTCCCTGATGCTCTCTGGCTGATGCCATTTGAGTGCCGGTTTGTAATTAAATTTCTCTTTGCCTTGTGCTTACTTTAGCCAGAGTCCTTCCTTCCCGCTTTCATTTCATTTCTCAAAGTGTTGGCGTCTCTTCATTAGCCAAGCAATAGTTTAATGCGATTCATTTTCGAGCGCACTCAACTGAGTGTGAAATGCAAAATGTGAACAACGTTTAAAATTTGCCAATTAATGACATCAATGTTATTACAGGCAATTTCCGACTAGTCGACTCGTTTACATAACGCTCTTCCGGCGGTAATTTCTCTCAATTTCATTATTTATGAACCCAAAATGAGTAATTAACTCAACAACTCCAGTTTCATGGCATTTCATGAAATTTATGGATTTCAGTTTTATTATAATATTTCACGTCGCTTCACCCTTTATCCCGAACTCTTTTAACGTTTTTAACTGTAAAGCACTTCAGTATTTGATAACTTGCTTCGTTACATGGATTAGAATACGAGTAGTCAGTCAAAACTAAAGGGTGAGTTGACTAATGCGTTACCTTTTTAAATATGATTTGATTCTTATTTATTTATTTATTAAATGAAAAGTAATAATACAATTATTATCTTACGGAGTAAGAAGCACTTACGACTTACTGCTCTAATGAAACTATATTGTCTTAGAATATTAATATATGGACTGTCCCGTAAAAAATTGACCCTTTTATTCCTTAAGATTATGACGTAACAGTTTATGGCATTAGTCTCAATGGGGACATGTTTTTTTCTCTATAATCTGACGATTATAAAAATGTATAACATTTGGTGTCAACACTTCAAACTATTAAGATGTCTAGCAATCAAGAAAAAGTGCGCGAATTGGTTTTGTCCATTTACCTGGAAAATCCAGAATTAAAATATTCAGATATAGCTAAAAAAACTGGAGCATCGGAAAGTACTGTTAAAAGGGTTGTTTCGAATTACAAAAAGGGTGTACCTATTAAACGAAAAAAAGGTTCAGGAAGAAAGGCAGGTGCAGAAGGAAATTTGGCAAAAAGAGTGAAGGATGTTTTTAAGCAGAATCCCAAGACTTCAGTACGAGATGTTGCTGTTAAAGCAGGTACCTCTAAAAGTACTGTACAAAGGATAAAGAGTGATAGTAAGCTAAASACATATAGAGTTCAAAGAGTGCCAGATCGTTCCGATGAAAAGCTCAAAAACGAGCTCGAAATTTGTATGAAGGATACCTAACAAAATTTGACTGTTGCGTGATGGACGACGAAACCTACGCTAAGGCACATTTCAAACAGTTACCGGGGCATGAATATTATACCTGTATGAAGAAGGGGCAAGGACAGAGAAAATTTAAGGAAAAGAAAATTACCAAACTTGCCAAGCAGTATATGGTTTGGCAAGCGATATGTACTTGCGGTTTGAGAAGCACTTTTTTTGTAGCACAGGGCACAATCAATTCAAAAATTTATATTAGCGAGTGCCTTCAAAAACGTCTTTTGCCATTTATTCGCGAACATGAGGGTACTGTAATGTTCTGGCCTGATTTAGCAACCTGTCACTATTCTACAGCTACCATGGAGTGGTATGAAAGAAATAATGTCAATATTGTTATATGTAAAAGCGAATCCACCTAATTGTCCAGAGCTTCGACCTATTGAGAGATATTGGTCTCTAATGAAATCGAATCTCCGGAACAGTAAAGGTACTGCAAAAAATTTACAAGATTTTAGAAATAAGTGGCGAAGGTCGTACGGTACTATCGATGAAAACACTGTACAAAACATAATGAAGGGCCTTAAGAAAAAAGTAAGAAATTTTTACAGAAAATAAAAATT